TTGAGTTTTATGTACTTCTTGTGTTGTCTCCTTTTTATGCCCTAAATAGCAAAGTTTTTGCGTTCTTTTGTCATGCATTGTAACAAATCTTGTTTCGTACTCTTGCAATGTAAGTCTTGTCATTTCAAGTTGTGGAGTTTGTGTTTCCCTCGACGCCTCTTTGGTGCATAAATTTCTGATATTGATGTGTTAACCTTGCAATCGTAATTTAATTTTGATCAAAAGCAATAAGAATGTTAAAATCTCTCGTGAACTATAACATTTATTCATAGTGTAGTGGAACAAGTGAGTTAATCACAAAATTTTGGTAGAATAGACATATTCTAGTAATATTTTGCAACATATCTAGGGGATCAGAAGAATCCTAGGAAACACCATGGGATTAAGAGAAACTTAACTTTATGGGTTTCTGATTCTTCTTTTAACCTAAACATAAGTTTTATTCCTGGTTGTCAACAATAGTGTGGTTCCATAGAAAAATCTCAAGAAACCACTTGAAATGTATCATAGGAGTACAAATCTTGCATATCTAAAAAACTCAACATTTTTTCCTGATATTTCTGTTTACTGCCTTTTTAGGACTTTTAGATTATCTCTTGAATTCAACCACTTCAAACTAGACTTATCAGTTTAGTAAACTAGAATTTTTCCTATTAGAAATATTTTGGTATTAACCTCATGGGATCGATACGTAGACTCTTAGACTGCATATTACTTGACACATATACTTGTGTGATTGATCGACTTACTTCGCAGTATGTTTTGGTCATCACAGATGAAAATAGGATGAGTCCATCTGGATATGTTCAGAAAGAGAAGATATAATTGAAATATCTATCGAACGGATGATTCTCATATGACGAGTGAATATCATGAAATTCAATAGTGCAATGATGGAATTTGACATCATCTGATCTATGTCAACCCCATAAAAGCTGAAGATGACACAAAAGAATTTAGAAACCTAGCCAAAGTTTATCACTATATAGCACTAGCTCGTTTAAGCTAGAAGTATTCACCTGCTTGTCCTGACTGACCATACGAAGACAAACAAAAGGGTTGAAAACATAACTCTATTAATACTTAGTAATGCCATTTTTTATCAACCTTGATAATCAGACAAGCTAGCAGCTGCAAAATCCATTGGTGTCCAACGACGTGGAGCTATGTCATACAAGCAAAAATTTAAGAGGTCGTGAGAGAGAAGTAGACAAATAAAGTGCTTCTGTGACTATTACCGCCCCTTTTATAGGTGAAAATGAATCTCAACCTTAATTAAGAGGGTAAAACTAAAAAATTACATGACAAGAAGAGCGGAAATAAAAGAATTCATTTTATTAATAAAATAAATTGATACAAGCAATTTGTAGTCGTGACTCACCACGAACGAAGTAACTAATATAAGGGTACGATGCAACCTTAGCCTAGACATGACCCAAACAAAATACCCAACAAAATAGAAATTCGCTCCGACATAAAATGATCCAACCTATTGGAATCAGCTTGAGCTTGAGAAGTTTGAAGCTTGTCACATAGATTCACAGGTTCATAGTGAAGGAGAAATTACATTTGCTTCATCACATTTATTTTCTTTTTAAGCCTTGTCACATAAGATGATAAGGCGCTCACCTGCAAACCTTGTTGAATATCAGCCTCACGTGCAAAGTAACATTCAATTTCATCCAAGTGGAGGGCCAGCACTACGATCTGCCTGGACCCTCTCAACACTATCCTTGCATATCTCAAAAGGAATGCCCTTAGAATGATTGGCTCCCCCATCCTAGCTGGAAAGTCCCTCATCTCCTCATGTTGCCTGTTTTCCTTCTCTTGATGTCACGACAAGAGCTTTGTACAAACTTAAAAAATATAAATTTGGAACATTAAAAAAAATCAAATAAGCTGGGATGCTATCAATTTTTCATGAGCTCAGAATATCTAGACTTTGTAACATCTCAGATATTGTCGTTCCTCCGGTTGAACTTTCAGTGGTAATAGAAGACACTAGGTACTTGCCTGAAGGCTCCATTCTTTTGGCATGGCAGAAGTTGCGACCACCTGTTGGGTAGATTGGCCTTCGATCTGGACAACTAGATCTGCATTCTTTGGGAATGCCCTAGAAGAGCCTACCTTAAGCGGGGGTGAGACTATCCTCTTCTTCATCACCACCTTTTTCCTTTGATCTCCCTCATGATTTTGTTCCTCAAATCTCTGAAAGTAACTTGTGAATCAAAGTACTATTTGAGATATCAATTTGAGACTTTGCCATCTTATCTATTGAAAATCTTCACAAGACGGAACAAAGGTAACAAAGGAAAAAAAAGTGATCAAGATTTATGTTGAATATCAAGGGATAGTTCGAAGCATGCAAGTTTATGGAAAGACGTCTACATCCCATACATATCAATTAGTTGCACGAAAATCAAAAAAGTACACACCATTAGCCATTTGTTGACAACTACTCACTTATTGTACTTAATTCTTGCGTTCTAATCATAAAACAACTAATGAATGTATAAGAGAATCAAGAAACTAAAATATGTATATTCCAAATGCCCTTGAGAGGATCTGTTACAAAAAAGGCACTTGTCGACAATCAAAGCGTATAAAGTTGCCTCAACGATAATTCATGACTGGGCTATCAACCAAAAAAGTGGATTGATCACAACTCAAGACATCAATTGGGCGACCGACTCAAGGGTGGAGAAACAAGAAAGCCTGGTAACATCGAAGTAGTTGAACAGGAAAGGGAGACCCAAAGACCGCCAGAGTCGCAAGTTGGTCAACTCATATATCACTTAGAAGAAACCAATCAGCGGAAGGACGAAACATCTATTAATTGTTATTTGTTGACTGTACACCGAGAAGTGATCAATATGGATTCAACTATTTGAAATTAACAAGGGTGTAATTATCGTTTTACAATATTTATTAGATTTTTCTATAAATAGAGGAAGGCTAAATGAAATAGGAGAAGATGGAACAACATTCAAAAAAATACTTTATTTATTTACCCCTTTTACTCCCTCCCTCCTTTTAGGCTTTATTCATTGGGTGTGACTCAAACAAATTTGGCTTCAACAATATCCAACATCTAATAAATGAAATCATGCATATGCCTAAAATACTATTTTACTTTTTATAAGTTAAAATTGTGATATTTTTTATGTTACATAAAGGATTTGAGTGGTATAAATGAAGAGTAAAATTTAGCCTTTAGATATGTGAATACATAAAAATTAGGTGGTATGTATGTAAATGCCCATATTTACAAACGTTTTATAGTTATTGTAAGAAACAATAATATACGCGTATAATCTATTTTTAGAATATTAACTGTAAAGTATAAATATATCACATTCTGATAAAAATAGTCGGAAGCTCAGACTAAAATCACATCATAAAACAGTAATATATTGCGCAGCCACAGTCATTCTGCTTAGACGTATAAAACGAGCAAGGTTGGTGGTGTGCTTATCCTAAGGATAGACCTGTCAAAAAAGCTCGTTGCTCGCGAATAGCTCATGTTCGACTCATTAAGTAGCTCGTGTTCGGCTCGTTCGTTAAGTAACCGAGCCGAACACGAGCAAGTTTTTAAAGCTCAAATTATAAATGAGCCAAACACGAACAACTCATTGTTCGCACGTGTTGGGCTCGTTTTAGCGCAAAACAAAAAAATTATTATTATTTAATAATATATTACATATATTATTTATATAATAATATATTATATATATTTATATCTAAACTTAAATAGTAATACCTTGTATGATAATATTGTTAGTGTATTTTTTTACATACATTTGGTTCAGATTCGAATCAAACACTTTACATCTATTTTTTTAATTTAATTTTAAGGAGCCAATTTCGAACCGAACACGAGACGAACACGAACACAAATATTTAAATCAAGTCGAATACGAACACACTGTTCACGAGCCAATTTCGAACACGAGCTGATTTCGAACGAGCTGAACACGAGCCAAGCCTAAGCTCGCTCAAGCTCGGCTCATTTACAGCCCTACCTAAGACAAGACTATCAAACCCGGGGTTGCTTGGCTGCAACTTGCAAGTTTTTAATAATTTTAGAATTCAGATATTTTAATATTATAATATAAAAAATTTCATTTGGGCGTTTTTCAGAACAAAAGCGTGCAAACAGAATAATTCTCAATTTGGAAATTATAAGAAATGACCTTTCTGAAAGCATTTCAGATTCCTTTGCCAAAAATAATTTATTTCTTATAAAAAATCTGAAAAATTATATCAGAATATTTACATCCATACCACCTAATTCCAAGTTATTTACATATCTAACACCAAATCTTCAATTTTTACATATCATTTTACATATGCCTGAAAAGATATACTTCAATTTTTAAATACACACACTCTCTCTCTCTGAAAACATCAAATCAAACCTCCGCTCAGCCCGAGAATTTTCCATAATGTCACCACATGTGCTGCACCGGGCCCACCTCATGAAATATTCAAAACATGAATTTTTTTTTTATGAGTTATTGAAGTGAAACTGTATGTGTTATTAGAGCAGTTCACCGCGCAGAGCTATTGGGAGTTTCTTGCGATATTATTGGAGCTAATACCACAATAATATTGAAATAATAACTCAATAACCTCGAAATAACATCGAATTTGATAGATTTGAAATGAATTCGATATTATTTCGGGGTTATTAGGTATTGATTCGGTGTTATTGGGTATTAACTTCAATAACGTCGCAATAACCCAAAATAACCCTTCAATAACATATGTGATTCTACTTCAACAATAACCTCCGTGGTTCCACTTCAATAACCCCCGAAAAAAAAAAATAATGTTTTTAATATTTTATGAGGTGGGCTCAGTATAGCACACAGGATAGCATATTATTGGATCCACATACAGAGAGCTATGTCCGCACTCCGTATGAAAAAATTTTCCCCTCAACAACCTCATAGGATGCCAGCAGTAGAAAGATCCATGTGAAAAAATACAGCTGGGAATTGTTAACTGACATTAGAAGAAATAGAATAATAGACAGAGTCACTTAGTCAGAACTAGAAAAGCAATGTCATAAAAAAGAGGAAAAAAAAATTCAATCATACTCTGATGTACAAATATATGCGGTTACATCAATATCAAGATATACAATCAACAATTCCTACACAATGGAAACCGCTTTATTAAACTTGAACTTCTACCAATGGAAGCTTTGTTGCCACCACATATATACACGCAATATGCTTTAAAGGTTATAAAGTTAACCAAAAATCACTTCACCATTCAATAACTTCAACTATGCAAAAATCCCACAAACTGATGAATTTTACTCGTTTTGAGAATTGAGGAATCATTTGAATCTTCACACTTTTTCAAAAAAATTGAAGTGAGAGGACCATTCTGTGTAGAAATAATGAAATTGTCAAAAAGTGGAAGACTAACTTTAAGTATGAGTTTCAATGATGCCTTACTGTTAGTTTACAACTGTTTTCAGCGCCCAGAACTACCGTTCTTTTTAGCTTCTAAGGACGATCCATCTTTCAGTGCTTCCCGAGCATCGTTCTCCATTCCGAGAGCGAAAAGGGCAGCAGATTGTAGATAGAATGCAGTTGGCCATGTTGGACATATCAGCAAGGCCTGCATTGCATCATTAAGTGCTTCCTGTGGTTTGTCATTCATCAGGTAGGATAGGCTGCGACGAGCGAATACAGTTGGAGATAACATGGTTCCAACATCAATGAACTGCAAAAATGATAAATTTCTCTATGAGAGCCCTATAATTGGTTCATATTTGTGATAAACATCATTAAATATCAAAGAAATGCAACATTAAGTTCAAATAAACTTTTCAAAAAAAAAAATTAAATTCATGGGGCATTTACATACATACCACCTAATTCATATGTCTTATGTATCAAACACCTAAACTTTGGCTTTTATATTTACACCATCCAAATCTTTCCAATCACATAAAAAATACCACCATTTTAACTTTTCAAGAGTGAAATACACCTTTTCATGCTCAGTTAAGACTGAATTGTATGTAAAAATTGAAGCTTATGTGTTTGCTATATAAATACGTAGGAATTGGAGGTATGTAAGTAAATCTTCCTAAATTCATTCCAGCATATTGTTGGACACAATGATTTGCAGCAGTGATTATTTATAAAATGCCATTTTAATTGGTTTCCCGACCTGACTTCATATCTATTGAATTCAACGTACTACCGCCTATTTTGGTGCCTTGATTGTGTTGAATCCTATTTTTGAATTCCGGAGGAAATCTATATTTGTATGGGTGGTGCCGATATACACACTATGAATGGAGTCTTCAAATGGACGCATAAAAAGCTATAAGACCATTTTGTATGGAAATTACATTAGAAATAAGAACTCCACAAAATCGAAAAAAATATACAAATTACTTTTAGCAGTGTTAACAGAAGAAATGTAAGACGAACCACAGCATTCTTTCGCATTTCCAAAAATTTATGTTTCTCCTACTTTGCATTATTGCATGTTGAAAGTTTCAGGCTATGAACATGAACACTTTATAAGAAAATATACAATTCATAAACTTAGGAGCAGAATAAGGGAGAATAACAGAAAATTTATCCCAAATTATATGCACTTCTAAAATCATTTACTAATATTATTTCGTAATGATCATCATATGCTGAAACAGGATTATAAATGAATATAACATGAAATGATTATTACGCTGTTATGAAGATATATCATCTTCAAAAACGATTACTGGCAATATGACTTTTAAGTTTTAGACCCCTACGGAGTTAAATGAATTTTTAGTACTCCTGTTCACGTGAGGGCTGAGCAGGACACTGGACCGGTTCGTTCTAGGTTGAGAGGGAAGGCTGAATAAATTTTTAGTACTCCTATCGACATGAGGGCTGCGCGGGACACTAGATCGGTTCATTCCACGTTGAGGGAGGGACGACCGGTAGGCCCTCCTTAGGCCTAGGAGTGCCGCCCAATTGGAGTGGGGCCCACTCATATAACTAGTAGGTCTATTTAAGTGTTTATTTGATGTTTAGAGTTTAGTTTTCACTTGATTTGAGTTTGTAAAGCCGCTGGCTCCTCTTTTCCCTATCCAGGGTTGTATCCTAGGCAAAATGGTGCTCCAGCTGTATCTTGGTCTCCAGATTGCGTTTATCCTTCCTCTATCTTTCCCCCATCCTTTCCCTATCGCTCTCAAACCCCCTTCACTATTTTTCTACTGGTCGCCCAGAAAGGCAGCAGCTGTCTTGCTGTCCTTCCCATCTTCCTTGTTGCCGCCACCCGAAACAACCTTCATTCGGCTGTACCTGCTTGACCCCTGCAGCCGCCACCTAGAACCGCCAGCACCACAGACAGTTCTGGCCTGTCTCTTTGCTGCTGCTTCCCCAAACAGCCCTCCCACAGCAATTCCTTCTGCTTGTTTGCTGTCCGGACTCTTGGAAATAATCGTCTTGCCGTTTCCAGCTTGCTGTCCGGACTCCTGGAAATAATCGTCCGCCTCCTTGCCACCACCTCGGAGGTTCAACCCTAACTGGCACCACCTACACCCTATTCCCTAATATTTCCCGTTGTATTTGCTTTCAGTTTGTTGTACTTTCGATTACTGACTTCTATAAAATTACTAGTGATTGTGTTCCTCCTCACCTTAGTTCCATAACAATTCCAATATCACCCATTGGTTTGCAAAACAATAAAATATAATTAAATACAAATTAAGAGATAACCATTTTCCAAATACAGTCAGTAAGTAATTTCCAAGGACAAAAATGTGGAAGCTGCATATTCCAAATAATTAAAAAAAACATGCAATTAGATGAAATAAAAAGGTGACCTGAGTGTAACACTCAATTGCAGTATTCAGGTCTTTATGCCGGAATGCAGTATCGCCCTTTTTCTTTGAGTTCAAAGTCTCTTGCATTTGATTGGTCCACATTTGAAAGGAAAGCTGGAAGAAGTTAATTAAATAATCAATAAAAAAACATAGAGTACTGATTGTTTACTCCAAAATATAATGAGATTGCTAAAAAGAAAAGTAATCATTTTGTAAATTGCTAGATCCACTGGCATTATTCCAAAATATTCTTGGGAGACTCGTTTCACGTCATGAAAGGAGCAAACTATACCCAAAAGCCATCAAATTAATCTTTTTATTAGTTACTCACCTAAACAATAGGAGTACAAATGTTATCATTTAAGAAAACAAATATTTCAATACAATAGATGTAACATTTTTTTGTCAAAAATCAACCCTTCTTTTCGAAAGATCATATTTAGAATGAGAATTCCAACACTCTTATTGAAAATTCATTTTGTATTTATCCTAATATTGCATAGCTTATATCTCTCCCTAATCTCACTGAAACTTGGTCATAAAGCCACAAGAAAAATTTTCAAGTTCACATAAAACAGGCTAAAGAAGAAAGGCATGGTTTATATCAAACATAATATATATATATATATATATATATAATCATAATAATAATAATAAAATTCAAGCATTCCACCTTAACAAAAACACACGCCTAAGCCATGTTTTGAATATTCTTCACAAGCGAATTGATTCTAACCTTAAAATCCGAATTGCCCATAGGAAAGATAGACGGATTACAAAAGGACCTTGCACAGAATATCAAATCAATGAGTACATATTTTATGACAACTTATCTACTTAGTGTTATGCCTGTACAACAAATCGTCTTAATGCTGAAATCCCTAACAAAATTCGGGAAAAATTAAAAATATCAGAACGAAGAGATATTCGCATAAGCATTTTAAAAGAATGTCTTATAAAAACTCTTAATTTTGCCATAAAAGAAAGAAACATACTGGTTTAAAAAATAGATTTTAATAAAAAATATAATGCCAATGGGAGCATGAAAAGATTAAAAGTTAGAATAGTTGCAAAAGGGTCTACCAGAACTTAATTCATTATAAAAATAAAAATAAAAAAAATAAAAATAAAAAGAACTTTGCATGAAGTTTAAATTTGACTCCTTTAGATCATTCTCCATCTTACTGTGAATCTTGATTGGCCCTTTCACTAACTAGGCATAAAAAATGCTTTCTAAATAAATTTTTTGAAGAAGCGCAGATAAATATTTCTGTTAGATTTTAGAAGGTGACAATAAAAGTGCAGTCTGTCTTGAGAAATATTTGTAGTCTAAAATAATCTCCAATAGCCCCGTTCAAAAGATTCGCTACTATAATAAAAAAGCATCAGTACTCTCAAGGGCAAGCTAATCACACTTTGTAATAAAAAAACACACAGGTCAAATCACTATCCGCACTTAGCAAATAAATTTGAAATAAAAAACTTCCAAGACTTGAGATATTTCTTTGGCATAAAAACTATAAGATCAAAGAATGGAATATCTCTCTCTCAGCAAAAATATGCTCAGCCTGTTAGCAAAAACATGTATGAAGAGATGAAAGCCTGTTAATACTTATATGGATACTATCAACAAAATACACTCTTCAACTTAACAAAGAAATGTACCAACGACTGGTTGGAAATTTTATCTCCCTCCTATACTCATCCAGACATCAATTTTCCTATCAGTATTAGTAGTCGCTTTATGAATGCTCCCACTAAAGAACGCCTTGATGCAACTGATAAGATATTAAGGTATCTAAAAGGGTTTATTCTTCAAAAAAAGCAATATTAAAATCTCCATTGAAGCTAACTGGGCTAGACTTATAGTTGAACATAAACCCACTTTTGGCTACTACTCATTTGTATGTGAAAATCTGATCACTAGTGAAGTAAATAGCAGGCAATTGTTACTAGAAATAGTGCTAAAACCGACTCTAGGGCAATGACTTCGAAAATTTGCAAGGGAATGTGGGCCAATAGGTTTTTGCAAGACCTAAACATCCACACTAAATAACAATGATGATGATATGTGATAACCAAGCTACAACTGGTATTGCTAAAGATCATATCTACCAAAACAGGACTAAATATATTGAGATTGATGGATATTGAGATTGATGGACACTTCATTAAGAAAAAAATTAAACAATGCATTATCAAAGTTATATACACTACAAAAAAAATTCATACAACAGACATCCTTACAAAAACCCTCAATAAAATCCAAAATAGTCTCATATTCAAACTAAAATTACAATATAAATTATTAGTTTAAAAAAAATGTGAAATTGAAGGGAGTTAATTATCACCTCTCCCTTGGATAGAAAATTTCATGATGATGCCCAAGAATTTGGAATAAAGAACTATTCAACACAAAATACGCCTCAATCAGTCTACCATCAATTCCACAAATCAGGATCAAAGGTTCAGCAATTAAATCTATCTTTGATTTTCTCTTGAATTCGGGGGCTAGAAATGCTGCCCAACTTTTCTCGTATATGGATTTACTTTCTTAGGTATTTTACTCTATTATGCTTGTAATTTATTTTCATTAGAAGAATTGATTTTCCGCAAATTTTGTAATAAGTTTCATCTTTAAAAAAAAAAATCATTTTAATTGACTCTATGCACAAAAATGGTGTACTTAGGCTCCTTTGTAGACACAAGAAATATAATCAAGTCTTTCTCTTTTGTCTCTTTACTGGTCTTTTTTTATTTTTAGCATCATGCATTTCTTATCACTTTCTATTTAACTTACTGCATGCCTTAAGGTGCCCTTCAAGGCCAGCTATCGTTTTTCATATTATTTTCACCTGCCATGTATTGATTGCCTCCACATTAATTATCTCAGTATGTTTTGACCATTTAACCTAAAACTCCATGCACAATCAAATTCAAATTTGATACAACCTAAATAAAGAAAAATTCCCTGGTAGAGGGAAATACAAGATAGTAAAACTCAGAAATAAAGCTGCCAGACGAGAACTATCAGCAGTGCATAACTCGAAAAAGAGCAAACCAAACAATCAAACAAAACCTCATTTGCTGTTCCATCATCGTCCTTGTAGCCAATCTTCTCCAGTATCTCATGTATAGCTGTCAAATCCATTCTGAGGCAAGCTTCACCGAAAGGAGAAAGTGATAAAGATTCAACAGAAGATGCACCACCATGTGGCATATCCATCAAAACGTAGGAAGGAACCTGAAAATTAAGTCATCTTTTAAATGCAATAACCAAGCTTCAAAAAGATAAAGACGCACTCAGAGATTAAGCACAATGCCACCAAATGGTTAAGTTTTTGTATTCCTTTTCTTCATATTAATTAGATGGGAGGGTTTCCCAGCCAGAGAATGGGAATAGACCGATAAGCTAACCTCAATTTCTTTTTGGAGAGGAGTCAATGCAAGGACTAACAATTTAACATTTGGCCTTTCTCTCTGTTCATATTGTAAACACCTCGAAGCTAAGCGCACGACTTCAGTTCCGTCTTCATTAGAAAATTGCCCCTCCAAACAGGAATCTGTCAGCATATGAAAATTTCTATCTCGTATCAAGTCCAGGGCCTGCCCACCATAACAGAAGGAAAATGCAAAATGATTAAAAGGACACTTTTTTGTCTAAAAGAAGCATGTTTGAATGAGCTTAGCACAGCCAAAATCCACCGCTTAACATAAAATGACTACAATATCTCGACCAAAAGCACAACTAAAACATGCAAGCAACATCCTCCAATCATGCTTATTCATGTCATCATTTTTAAGTTCAACTGACAAAAAAATTAACCCAATGGAAGAGATTTTTTTCCAATAACAAATTTAGGGAGGGGTTAGCATAGGTAATCTAACCTTATAGTCAATAATTAAAATACATGACCTCTAGATCATGATGATGATGACAACCTAACCATTGGATTAGTTAATGTAATTACAATCTCTCATTTGTACAGTACTGTTAGACTTCAACCACACAAACATACCTCGTCGCATATAGCTAATTTCTCTAGTAATAATTCTCTTTCTCTAGTAATAATTCTCACCGAATTTAAGTGGTATAAATAAATAATCACAAAACCTAAATGGTACTCACATGGCTCGGAGGAATATGCTTTCCACTAAGAACATCAAGCAGCAGTGTGCCAAAACTGTAAATCACACTTTCTGGTGTAACCCTCCCTAAAAAATTGAAGAGTCGTTAGGGCAAAATTTTATAAGAATATATCAAGCATACATAATGTAATACGCACTTAAGATTAAATTTGAACCCAAACAGCAATATCATCTTCGCTTTTACAAAATTTAGATAACAATATATGAAAGACTAAATATTAAGAAATAATGCATAACTTAAAGATGAATAAATATGTTAATTCACATCAGAACAGTTCTTTTAAGAGGCACTGGATCATTAGAAATAACTGTATCACCACGCAAAAGTTTCTTGATGAAGCAACACAGCAGCATGGAATAAGCGCATTCAGAGATCCAAATTAGATTGTTTTTTTTGCTGACACCTAACGAGAGCTGAATGTGCATACAACAGCCCAATTTATATCAGTTCTTTGCATCAAACTCATATATGAGCCTTTTCAATCTGTCAGCATTTTCCTTTTGGTTAAATGAAGCACAGCCTATAAATTTAACCAAATGCAGCAACAACAACAATAATAACAACAATAAGTCTTTAACCCACTAAGTTGGGTCAGCTACATGAATCCTTTTTCTCCATTGTGTCCTATTGAGCGTCATATTTTCATTCAAGTCTAATAGATTAAGATCATTTTTTATACAATACACCCAAGTCTTTTTAGGTCACATCTGCCTTTCTTAACAAAAGTTGAAGTTAAGAGATTTACACACCTAATCGGATCATCAGATGATCGACTTTTAATGTAATCAAACCATCTAAGATGACTCTCTCTAATCTTGTCTGTCATTGGAGCTACACCAACCCTATCATGGATATATTCATTTCGCATTTTGTCTCTAAGTATCAAGCCAATCATCCATCTAAGCATTCTCATCTCAGCAACACTTTACTTTGTTTTATGTTTCTCTTTTAAAGGCCAACATTTTGCACCATAGAGCATTGCAAGTCTCACCATCTTATAAAATTTTCCGTTCAATTTAAGCAGTATTTTTCTATCACACAATAGGCCCGAACCATTCCACCACTTCAACCAACCAACTTGAATTCTACTAACAACATACCCATCTATATCACCATCACTCTGAACAATAGACCCGAGATGTCCAAGACGTTCACACCTTCTAATGATTTGATCACCCATAGTTACAACTCTGCCACTAGATCTACTACTACTACTAAAATCACATTCCATGTATTCAGTTTTAGTTCTACTCAAACGAAGGCCATTAGACTCCAATGTAGACCTCCACAATTCATTTTTTTTTCCTCTCTTCTCTAATCATATCCACAAGAAGGAAGTCATCAGCGAAAAACATACACTAAGGTACATCTTAATGTAAATGTCCAGTAAGAGTATCCATAACTAAAACAAAAGGATATTGGCTTAATAAGAAAATACTTGGTCAATCCTCCTCATCTAACACAAGTAACATCTCAAGTATACATATCTTTAATGACTTGAATATAAGTCATATCAACACCTTTCTTCTCTAGAACTCTCCAAAGGACTTCTCTAGGACTTCGAATGCGTGTGAAGGTCAAACAGAGATAGTGAGGGCTTCGAATGCGTGTGAATGTCAAACAGGGATAGCGAGGGTTTTGTGTGTGAGTTATGTCGTGAGAACAATTTTAAGAACTGAAAGATAGTGGGGAAGCCAACGGAAGCAGTTAGGATCTTAATTCTTTTTTTATTTCTTTGTTTTTACTTGATCTTTACAATCAACACTAATTATCCAGCTAAAACCAAAGAAACAAACCTATTAATTCATAAAATCATTTTCTTACAAACATACCTATAAAATATTTCATTAAATTTGTTTCTTGCAGCTGTTTGGTTTTGTCCCTCATAGATTACGACATTATATGTTTTTAGTGATTACTCCCTCACATAGTCGTTCAAACGCTATGTATTGAGGCCCACTAATAATGCATACAAATTGCAAAATCTAAAAAATGATCTAAAAAAATATGCTCCAAGTTTTGAATGATGTTATTGTTGTTTATCATGGTGATGATGATTTACCTAAGATGTGGGGCTATAGTATTCAAACCTCGGACTATTGATAATCAAATTGAAAGGGTACATGATAACTTTAAATATGTATTGTTGTCTGATGCTTTGTAGACATTGAATTATAAAAAAGTAAACTTCACCTTATAATTTGCACTAATAATAGAATAATTTTCGACAATGGCATATAACAAATTAAATTAAGTAAAATGCAGTTATACTTTTTCTATGACAACAATCATGATAATAAGATTCTTTATGTGTGAATTTATAAAAAAGGCTTACAATCATAAACTGGGGAAAAAATGCATTAACCAAGAATTCTATGCTTTGTTTTTACATTGAAAAAATAAGTACAAGAAATGAAATACCTGTTCTCAAATACTCTGGAGGCGTAAATGCTAAATTCGTGCTGTAGCTTTTACCATCCCGACTATTCTTCATTAGGCCAAAGCATGAAAGCCTAGGATTACAATCCTATAACATACTAATCAATGATGAGAGATAAAGAAGCTCGAGATTTATGTAGTAAGCTGGGAAGCAAACTAAGAAATTTGACACATACATCATCGAAAAGGACTCTATAAGCATTAAGATCATGATAAAGAGCACGGCCCTTGATAGTGCAATACTCTAAGGCTTCTGCTAGATAGAGTACCACCCTCAGTCTCATCGGCCACTTCATGGGTTGAGCCTCCCCTGCACAACAAAAACATCAGAGCATAATATTTATCAATGAGAAACTAAAATTCAAAAATTCAGTAAGAGCAAAGCAGCATCAGTGTCGTGATGAAAAATTAAATGTTTTTATTTTATGAAAGCAAAAAAGGGTCTAGATAAGTATAAATAAATTCCATTGACCAAAAATACTGACTCATTAGTAGAGGCATGCACCAATTTATATAAATTCAACCTTTCCATAAATCAGAGATGCTAGCATCATAATCTTTTCCAGCAAAATTTATTAAGGACACGAGTCTAGTACATATTCATGTAAGAATTTCATAAATATGAGCAAGTCGCTTCAGTCTAACATAACGAGTATTAAAAAACTAGCAAATGCATTCACAGCTGTCACAAAATCACATTCTTTACTGCTAGTCATTCCATCTAATTGCTAACAAATTGTATAACGTGTGCGAACAAAATAGTATCTCTACTTATAAGAGTCAAACTTAAAACCTAAAGCGGCTGACAAGTCTACTTGATACTTAATACCTAAGAACATAAAAATCAACAACATGCCCAGGCAACTCAGCATGGAAACCAAATCAGAGAAAAACCAAACTAGGTGCATCCTAACAAAAGAGAACACATCTCATTAAAGTCACATCACCGCAAACAAATTAAAAAAATAATAATAAATTGAAATAAAAAAGACACCAGATAACAGTCAAATTATCAAATTACTAATTTTTTTATCATAGGGCATCATGTTTGCGCTTATTATAAGTACAAAACCTCAAAATCTCCATCATAAGCTTGGTTGAATTTTTCCTTTTTTATAAAGAAAGTTGAGAAGTTACTTCAAAAAATCCTTTATGAAGCCATTCCAAACTTCCAGTTTAAAAACATTGACATGGGAGCGTAAGTCCCGTGATCAAGCAATCCCGCTAAATCAGGGAAGCAGAATAGATGTTCTGCTAGGTTGCCAAATTTTGCGGGTATTCTTACCGTTTCTACTTTTTTCTTATTTTCTTTTTTCCTATTTCTTAATTTCTTTTTTTTTTTATTTCCAATTAGGCATTTTGCTATTAAAAGATGATATGTGTATATTTTACTGTTTTAGAGACAGCTGGCTACTGAGTTTGTCTTTGAGAAACTTTGTTCTTTGTTTATAATCTTTAGAGTATTGTATCATTTCCTTTTGCAAGTGGTATGTCTACTCAGGAATAAGTGGTGAAATCTCCTCGTTGCTCGTACCTTGTTGTTTTGTTTTTTGATCCATTGATTTGAGCCAGGACAACCCTGAATGTGTTGGATCTGATGTCCAACAATAGATTCAACTGTCTATCTCCCTCCAAACGTTGTAGGCCGCCCTAATTCACCTTCTCATGAGCTTCCAAAACTACCTCCCCACAAAACTTGCTTCTAAAATATCTTCTAGAAGCCCTAAAATGGTACCATCAGGTATCAAATCCCTACAAACCGAAATTTTTACGGATTTGTACTTCTTATTTCTAAACCAAGAAATCCATACAACTTAACCTAAAATACTCTCACACAAATGCACGCACAAAAAAAAAAAAAAACCCCACATTATCCACCTAGCTCTTCCCTTGACTCTAAACTATTTTTATTTATGTCAAAACTTCCTTTAGAAGAAGTAGACACCATGCCGCTAAGAAGAAACCCGCAATGAGACGTTCAGAAGCTCATTATGAAGGACATGCCACAGAAAATCATCCAACTGCAAACAATACTTGTCGCCTTTTGAGAGGAGACCATAAGATAAGATCACTCATAGCTACAACAATAACTCATCAAATCAAGAAAAGAAAGTAAATCTCTTATATCAAGTATTTTTTGGTGATGTAGAACCATTACCTCGACGATTTGGCATAGCATAACAGAGGAGAAGCTAGGATTTTGGAGTGATGATTGACTTGCCAGATTTTAACGACCGCATGAATATAGAAGAATTCATTTAGTGGCTCCAGATAGTGGAATGGGTCATTGAATATAAGGATATTCCACCATATAGAAGGATAGAGCTAAATGTCATCAAGTTAAAGAAGAGTGCATCTCTGTAATGGAAAATTTTGAAACACCTACGCTAGCAAGAGAGAAAAAGCAAAATCCCAATATGATACAAGATGCAAAGGAAAATGCGACAAAAGTATGTTCATCAATTACAACAGCAAAAGCTTTCATTAGAGGACACAACTAAGTTCAAACAGCTTATATTGATGTGTGAGCTAGTGGAGCTCGAGGAAAACACCATGAATAGATATCAGGAGGATTGAGACTATCTATCGGCAAAGTGGTACAGTTGCAACCATATTGGACAATACAAGATGTTTAGACCATAGTCCAAAAGATAGAGACATTACAACCATATCAAATCCATATAACCCTTTAAATAGGATTTAGCCATCATATTAAAAAGTAAGAGTACATCTAATGGATCAACCAAGCTAACCTCACTAGAGCAGATTCAGATGTCACGATTTTAGGCATATTACATTTGATTGCCCAAATAAGTGAATGATATATTTCACCAAGCAAAGAGCTGTTGAAGAAATAAACAGTGACATAGAAGAGAATGAAAGTATCAAAATATTAGCTTGCAGCCTACGAGGGAGAGATGCTAATGATTCAAGCTGAGCCCATGATAAAGACTCCAAAAAGATTAACATTAGTTGTTCTAACAGATATTGAATCCAAGGAGTCGATACCAAATACGTGCAACCCATGCTAAGTGGATCTCGTGATTCTCCGACCTACATCCTACCTCCTAGGTTTTTACAACTTAGGGAGGTCCAATATGTCATCACTTCACATAAAGATAGAAAATTTTTAATGATTTTTGGAGGACTCGATAGAATAAATGTAGTAAGTTCAAATTCAGTTCAGCAGCTCACCCCAGATAGATTCCATACAAAAGTGGTGTACCGCAGTTGTGGAGATATTCTTTGGTTTTTGGGGGAAAGAAACATCTAAAAATGGGATCTTGGTTATTCCAAAGAAGAATAAGGAGCCTCTCTTAGCTGAAGAGAATGATGAGTGAGCTCCCTAATCGAAGGAGCAAAAGTTTTGTGATCTCCCGATCGTGGGATCCCGCAATCCTGTCGAATCGAAGAGGCCGAACGAGATATTCAGCTAGGTTACCAATTTCTATAGGGGTTCTTACCATTTTTTATTCATCTCATATTTCCTTATTTCATTATTTCTAATTAGGTTCTTTTGTATTAGAAGACTGTGTGCATTTTGTTGTTTTGGAGACAACTTGCGATTGAGGTTGGGTTTCAAAGACTTTGTTCTTTGTTTCATGCTCTTCGGAATGTTGTATCATTTTCTTTTGCAAATGGCTTGTTTGTATCTTCTTCAGAAACAGGTGGTTAAATCTCCTCGCCACCCATATCTCGTTGTTTCCGCATTTGAGCCACTATTTTCAGCCGGGATTGTTTCCGCATTTGAGCCACTATTTTCAGCCGGGACAACAGCTAAACGAACCAGATTTTCTGTCCAACAGCAGATTTCGCCACTTAACTCCCTCCAAACGCCACCAGCCATCCCTATCCTCCTTCTCGTACCCTTCCAAAATTACTTACCAACAAACCCCACTTCCTAAAAACCTTCTAAGAGCCCCTAAATGGTATCAAACAACATTGTTCAAAATAGACCGCTAGAAAAGCAGCTCAATCCTCTTCACCCAAAGGAAGGTCCGACAACTTTCTATGGCAACCAAGTAGGTGAAAAATCCAAACAAAAAGCTTAAAAATTATACTTAATTTGAACTACTACCACTCGCCACAAGCAACTTTAGACATAGTGCTCTCACAATGCCTCACACCTTAAGTGAATTTAGGCCAAACACCTTCATAATTCAACAATAACAACAACAACAACAACAAGTTTTTATACCACTAAGTGGGGTCGGCTACATGAATCCTTTTTCTTCATTGTGTACTATTAAGTGTCATATTTTTATTTAATTCTAAGAAATTAAGATCATATTTTATACAATATGCCCGAGTCTTTCTAGGTCTATATATGTCTTTCTTAACATAAGTTAAATCTAAAACATCTACTCTCCTAACTGCTACTCTCCTAACTACTCTCCTAACTGGATCATCAGATGATCGACGTTTAATGTGACCAAACCATCTAAGACGACTCTCTAATTTTATCCGCCATTGGAGCTAGACCAACACTATCACGGATATATTCATTTCGTATTTTGTCTCTAAGTGTCAAGCTACTCATTCATCTAAGCATTCTCATCTCAGCAACACTTAACTTTGAACATTCTGTGTCATAGAGCATTGCAGGTCTCACCAGCATCTAATAAAATTTTCCTTTCAGTCAAATCAGTACTTCTCTATCACACAATAAACCCGATGCATTCCTCCACTTGAACCAACTAACTTGAATTCTACTAAAAACAACCCCATCTACATCACCACCACTTTGAACAATAGACCCAAGATATCTAAAGCATTCACACCTTTTATTGATTTGATCACCCATAGTTACAACTTAGCCATTAGAGCTACTACAACTAAAACTACATTCCATGTAATCGGTTTTAGTTCTACTCAAATAAAGGCCCCTAGTATCCAATGTAGACCTCCATAAATCAATTTTTTCCTGATCTCTTTCTCTAGCCTTACCCACAGCGAAAAACATGCACCAAGGTACATCCTTAATATGTGATGATCTAGAATAGATTTTGACGAGAAAAATAAAAAATAGTGAAGGCTTCAGTTAGAAAGTTCTATCAACACATTTTCACGATTACCATCAAATTGAAATATAACTGAAATTACTTCTATTAAAAAGATGCTAAATATTGACAAATAGAGAAAATCTTAGAGACGTTGAAACAGACCACTTAAATGTGCTTATTAAGGGAGTATTAACAACCATAGAAAAGGGAGAATATAACTGAATTGATTTTCCATCATCTAGTTATTTTCACGGTTACCATTAAAGTGCATAATATAATTGAAATAATTTCCCTTTAAAAATGTTTGAAAATAAAAAATAAAATTGTTGAATCCCTTTGGGATGTATGATGCCGTGTAATTTGTGAACCCATACAATTTGGGAGAGATCTTGTAAAAGAAGTGGGAAAAAATTTGTGTTAGCATGTACTTTCCCTTTTACTTCTTATTTATACACCATATAGCATAGGGGTCTAAAAAATAAATAAAATGTCATATTGTAGGGGGTATTATATGGATCCTAGATAGACTCGCCGTTGACAAGATCTTTGACATGAATGTCAGGAGATCAATAAATAAGTATGTACTTGATGATGAATTGAAGTTCTCTTTCTTCAACATTGGAAAATTGTTCATTGAGCTTGGTGTTGTTGTCAGGTGGATATCGGTGAGCTTGGTAGGATGACTCAATTAATACAGACGAGCTTAGAAGAAGAACTCAGAAAATATGTGCGAGCAAGGCTGGAGGAACTCGCTTGGGGGTTTAAGCTCAGCGAACTTGGTTGAAGAACTTGTGTGAGGTTTGACAAACTTTAGAGGTACTCATGGTGTTCTTCTGAGCGTCAAGAAACTCCATAGCTTGCCGCCTCTAAAGATACAGCTCATGAATATTATAGGTATTGTCAAAATCAGATCATCAAGTAGATGGTCGGTGGGTTCCACCCATAATGCCCATTAAATATTAGGGATTTCCTGTTGCTTAAGAAAAACTCGTTTTTGTATGTACAAGAATACCACTAAAAAGTTATTAATAGAGACCTCTAAATTATGATTATTAAGAGTGAACATTACAATGCATGCAAATACAAAATTGAAGTCAGCATTAAAATTGTTTTCACATTTCAACCAATCGACATGATGTACAAATTGCTAAAAACAACCAGAGCATATAATAAAAAGCATATAAATAAAAAGGTTGATGGCATTGAGAGGTAATTACAGTGAAAAAGGTGTTTGGCGAGTGTTTCATTGGGCATATATTCGGCCACAAGCAGCCTCTCGTCACCTTCACAACAACAGCCAAGCAAGTTTGCTAATCTTTGGTTTCGAAGTTGACCAACAGCCTTTGCTTCTTCCTACCGGGAAACAAAAAAGATAATGAGAGGGGTCAGTGAAAATTCTTAATGAAAAAAAATCCATAGGGAAGCAGATGAATCATACCTAAATTTGGAATCACAGAAACTTATCACTATGATTGGATTCCATAGATTGCTTATCAGCAAAGGCACAAATTTTTTTATATGACAACCGAAAATAATAGTCTTCGGTAATAGATCCTTACAGAAGGAAAAAATACAAACAAGGTGCCAGAAATGGAATCAACAAACATTCTACAGATGACTAAAATTGAAAAACACTATGATTGGATTCCATAGATTGCTTATCAGCAGAGCCACAAATTTGTTTATATGACACAACAGAAAATAATAGTCTTCGGTGATAATTCCTTGCAGGAGAAAAAAACACAAAACTAAATGCCAGAAATGGAATCAACAAACATTCTACGGATGACTAAAATTGAAAAATGTTAATTAGAAGAATATTTTGATATACTTCCCATATAAAGCATAATCATGATGGACTAAAAATCGACCACACCACATTCCCTTCATTTTTGGAAACCTCATGACCTGAATAAAGCACATGTTGGATAGAAACATTGCTTTTGTTAAAATGACAGCACCAAAGAACTCAAAAAAGAAGTGCCACAAGGATAAAAAAGATGTGATACAGGAGTTAACCCCAACCATAATAAGAAAAACAAATATTATTACTAAATCAAATATTATTACTAAAAGCAAATAAACAGTTACAATCAAACTCGCTTGAAAAGAATATTACAATAAACACGAAAGAAACTTACACTAGGACTTGATCTTGGGTGGTGGAGGTCGGCTAGGTGGTCGAGGAGCGGAGGTAGGTGGCTGAAGTAAGTTGCAGGCCGTCTGGACAGCAATAGGAGGGGTTGGAATTACGTTGGCAGCGAAGCGGAGGGCTAGTACAACGAGGAGCAGTGAAAGAGAAGGGTTATGGACTGTAGGACGGCAAGAGGAGTGTTGTTTAGTGCAGGGGTAGCAAGCGGGGATTGCAGAGACAGCCGAATAGAGTATAGTCCAGGCGGCAGCAAGTTGGAATGATGGGTGGACAGCAACAAAACAGCATATTTCATGTTTTCCAGATGGAGGCAGCGAGGTTCGGTGGCTGGGAGTGATGTGGGAAGGTTTGGGAAAGATAGAGGCGGCTGTGTGGGATGGCAGAGAGGCGGTGAAGGGAGGCTATAATGCAGGGACTGCAGAAAACAGCCAAAAGAGGTTGTTCCAAGAGGTTGCAGCAAGGAAAGGGCAGTCAAGAGCGATGTAGGAGGATGCAGAAGGGGGGGGATAGGGGAAGATAATCACCACTTTGAGAGAGAGATACAACCGAAGCATCACCTAATCCCTCGGATATAGCCCTCAAGGAGAGAAAATAGATGTCGACGGCTGTCCTAAACAAACTCATGCAAAAAAAATCCTCTCTACAACCTAATACAATACATATATAGGAAAAGACAGGAAATGAATGAAAGGAAAGGAGGAAACTTGCTAAAATTGGGAAGCAAAAGAAAAAATGCCGGTTTGATTCGACCTTCATGCGACCGTGAGAGCCACGCCACGCTTGTAAGTGGGAGACACTCCCACATCACGATGTTTCACAAAGTAATATAAAAGAGAAAGAGAATGCGGTATCACCAAGACTTACATGGTTTAGCATCAACCAAACCTATGTTCACAAAAAAAATGGGGGAGAGAATGATCCACCATCAAAACAGAAGCCACATATATGTCGTACAAAACAAGCGAGACTACTCTCAACTTCTCAATTCCCAAATACAACAATTCTCAAAAGAAAAAAAAAACATAAAAACTCGCGGAAAAAAATTAGAATTCATAAGAAACATTTTGTATTCACACAGTACTCCTGAAGTAGCTAGTCCTTTAAGGAACCCTAGAATTGAGAATAAAAGAAATGTAATGTTCCTAAACCTTAGATGAGGACCCCCCTTGAAAAAGTCGTTTGCCACACAAAAGGAAGGAAGAAACATTGCCTAATGCATGCATCCTAGTATACTGAGCCACCCAAACCACGTGTTGGGATTTCTAACAATTCCTATACGATGTGGTTTAAATCCTAAGGCATTCAAGTGGATTGACTATGCGGTTGTGATCTCGTTTACTAAATTTCAGCAAATTATGACAACAAAATAAATAAATCGTGTGCAATCTCACACAGATACAATGCAATGTAGTGAACACAACTGATTCAAACAAAACCTACTCTGCTCTTGACTAAATATTACAATAAAATTATGTCTCTCTGGTTATGGCTACTATCCAACTTGAATACTCTTAACACACAGATTGAAGGCAGGGCCATTGAATTTGAATACTTACCCAGCATTGAGCTTTCATATCCTAAAATTGTCATCTCCTCATCCTTAATGTTGAAATAGTACAATTCAACGTAAGGACAAACTATGCAATACAGCTTTGATTCATTTGATCACTAGAAGTATTCCCATCATCTCGTATCTAAACCATAGAAAGTTTTCTACAACCAGAAAGATCTTCAATGTTTTTCCAAAATATGATGGTCTGACACTTGTAAAGAAATAACTGAAGCAGCCATTGAGGTTGCAGCTTGCAGCACATATAGCCGTCTGGCTATTATGTCTACCATGACCGCAAAAGAATACATGCAAATCTAAACATTCTTAAAAATATTGTGCCATGCACCACTCAGAGCACTCAAAGATACAAAAATCATTCTTATATAAGGTGCATGCATCACCCCTGCTAAATTCATAAATACACCATCAAGTCTCCTAATACATACAAAGATAAACACACATTATTGTTTACAGCCAATATATAATTTATAGCTAGAAAATAATGAATTTCCTTGACACATGAATGAAAATAAGTTGATTATAGCATCCGCTAATCATTGGCCAATAACCAGCAGCCGTAGAAAGATCGTCATCAGAATCTACATCAAAAGTGTTTGCATGTTTCGCTATGTCGACTTGATGGTTGTAACATGTCTAATGCTCCCACTTGTTCAACGCTTGACAATCACTTTTGATGTGCCATTACTTATTGAAATAAAAACAATTCTTATTCATGCCAAAATAACGTGACTTGTGAGGGCCCTACTCTGATAGTCATCCAAATGAAATATCCCACATTTTAATTTTCTTAGTAAAAAAATCCAACTTAGAACTTACAACTTTACATAATAAAGAATATCTCACATCTCTAATGTTTTGCTAACTAATTTATAAGATGATATCATGAAAGTGCTTATAAGTGGGAATTAACGAGCACAATGTAATGAAACATTCTCACATTCATCTAATAGTGACAGTAATGTTTATCAAATAACAAAAAGTTAAACTAAATTGATTCCGCAGCGGCTTGATTTACCAACTTGCATGTGAAACAAACACATTCATTGATTCAAATACTGTTTGTTATAAAAGCTTCGTCAAATTCAATGACTAATTTGTACAACAAACTTGCCGCAACTGACTTCTGCAATACTGCTATCAAAACCGCATCCCTAAAACACAATTGAATGACCTTATATCCTTTTCATCCCTCGTTAGCTTTACCTTCACTCATAATCATCTAAACTTTTAAACACATCATAAGTGCTTCGTAAGACTTTATTGGACAATAACACTAAGCATATAGACTCTCCAAACATCAAAACTCTGACTTGCCAAACTTTTTGATCTTGAACTGTATAACCACAGATCTCAAAATTGTGTGAGATATATATAACAATGATGTGCCACAAAAAAGCTCAAATTTTGCCTTATTATTGTTGAAATTATAAAAAAAATGTCAAAATGAAAGCATCACCAAGAATAAGGATTATGTGCCGCAAAATAAAAAATGAGTAAAAGAGAAAAAGAAAACATAATCACACCACACCAAGATTTAAACTTTAGCTTTGCAAGTGGAGAGAGAATCAATTCACCGTTGAAAAAAGAAAACAAAAACATGATAAATAAAATAGAATGATACTAGAGTTAACACAAACCATGACGCAAGATAAGAATTTATTAAGAACTTAAAAGACGGTTACAACGACTACACAAAAGAGAAAGAAAGACGTTGCACAAATCAAACACATAAATAAACATTACAACAAGACTCAACACATAAGGACACAACAAGCTCGACGAGGAGGAAGCAGGAGGGTGTCAGGGAGGTGGCTGTGGTGAAGGCCGCAGAGATGTCAGGTGAGAGTAATTTCTCGCACATTGAGGCGTCGAACAGCAATTGAAGGAAGCAGGAACGTCGTCAATGATTGAAATGTGGAGGTGGTGGGAGAGATGGTCAAAGCTGAGGAACGAAGGCACGGATGACATCTGAAGTCGAGCTGAGGCGCGGATGACAAACGAAACCCAGGAGCGGAGGCAAAGGAAGACCGAGAGCTGTCAGGAGGGAGGAGGCAGCGATTGGAGGCGTTAGGAAGGCCTGACAGGGTTGCGGCTTGCTGTGAGTGAGGCGGCAAGATACTATGGAATGCAGATGGGAGTGTTGCGGTGGAGGTAGGCCCTGGGAGATCCTGATTGAGCAGGTGGGGGTGCGACAGTGGAGGGAGGCGCTAAGAGAGCCTGAAGGTAGTCAGCTGGAAGGTTGGATGGGGGCCGCAAGGGTTGCGGCTGCCTGTAGGGTAGCTGCAGCAGGATCGGCAGGAAGCTAAAGGACAGCAGGTCCCTGACGACTATGGGCTAATAGAGAGATGATCGGCGATGTTGGCAAGGAGTTGGACTGAATACAGAACCAGGAAGAGCGAAGATAAACACAAGCTCGGATGGGGTTACATCTGAAACACCTTCGTCATCGGATACAGCTTTTGAGAGAAAATATTCAGGCAAAACTAAATTTAGACTTCAAAACGAATACTCCTAACACTAGAAACTACAACTCCTATTTATAAGAGACATAACCCAACTATAGGAAACATTTAAATTAAGAAGAATAAAAATAAAATTAAGATCTCAGATTTTAAAAAAGGTTTAAAT